GGAGGTGTAAGTATTCACCAGAGACAGAGTGGGGGCAGAACTGGCAGACTGAAATACATTGCTGAGGGGAGCAGCGGGCGGGTCAGGAGAGGTCTGCCACACCATGAGGGTCAGCTCCCAGGCTGGGAATCGAACTCTCACAGAAGTGGCTGTGGCCAGCTTGCAGAGCTGCATCCTAACCCATTATGCCACCAGGGAGGGCCCTGCCTATACTATTTTAACTATAATAGCTTTTGTGTTTTCATATCTGGTAAGCAAATCTCTTGTCTTTTCAGGAATTTATTGCCTATAACCTGTACAACAACAGAAAGACACCCAATTAAAAGTGGGCAAAGATTTAAATAAGCATTTTTCCAAAAAAGATATATGGGTGATCACTGTGCACATGAAAAGATGCTCAGCATCTTTGGCCATCAGGGAAATGTACATTAAAACCATGAGGTGCCACTTCATATTCGTTGGTGTGGCTATAATCAAAAAGTTAGATATAACAAGTGTTAGCAAGGATGTACAAAAATTGGAACCCTCACCCAATGCTTAATGGGAATGTGAAAATAGTTGCTACTGCTTTGGAAAAGTTGGCTCCTCAAAATATCAAACATAGAGTTACCAAAGAGCTGAAGTATGCTATAATGAACCTTGAAAACATTATGCTAAGTTAGAAAAAGCAGACACAAAAGGCCTTATATGGTATGATTCCATTTATATGAAATGCCAGAGTAGACACATTCATAGAGACCAAAAGTAGATTAAATGATTGCTTAGAACTGGCGGGAGAGGCACTGGAATGGAAGTGACTGCTAATGGGATACGGGGTTTCTTTTTAGGATGATAAAAGTGCTTTAAAATTAGATTAATTATACAGCTCTGTGAATATACTAAAAAGTCACTGAATTGTACACTTTAAATGAGTACATTTTATGATAGGTGAATTATGTCACTAGAGTGTTTTTTCTTTTTAATGTTTATCTATACAGAAAAAGCAAAATCATGCCCTTTCCCTCGAGTCCTTCCTCCTCTGGCCTGGCATAAAGAGAGGCTTCAGTCCTCCAGTGACCCATGAGAGGTCAGAGATGAGGGTCCTCAGGTCCACCATCTGCCCAGTGGCCATCTGTTAGATTAGTCTTTAACTGTGTTGGGCCTCTATAGAGTCTCAG